GAGGCTTGCTATGGGTTGGTTTGTGTCAGTTTTCTATCACAAATCTCTGTTTTCAGAATTTTATTACTAGCCAGTAATTATTTTTAAAACAAGAAAAATCAGTCCAGCTATTTCTAAGTGATAGGAATGTAAGAAAACAGAGATTAGTGGTTTCAGATGATTTCTCCCTCTTAAATGAAAACAGATTTTTTTAAAAAATGAGATTTAGGTCTTAGAACATTTAGAAAGCTGACTGTAGATTTTATTGAAAAATTTGGGTAATAAATGTTTCAGTTGTTGTATTTGAAAATAGATTACTATACTGGCTTTGTTTAGGAAAGGTTTTGTCTTGTGATATAATACTTAGAAGTACATGTAAATGTTAGATTTTATTTGTCTTTTCCATTCATTTGCTAAGTTGATTAGGCCCTGCTTATTACTAGTTTTGACCTTGCAGTTTTTAGCTGGAAGACATGGATTTTATTTTCAATAAATATTGAGTTTCCACCAAATGTCAGGCAGTGTATAGTACCTTCCCATAGGACGATATAGTCCAATTGGAAAGATATTTAAGAAATTTGACAATTACAGTATTGAGTGATAATAACTTTAATTGGCAGAAGGTCAATAGGGTACCTGACCCAAGATAGTGATTTAAGAAGGGAAGCTTCCTTGAGGTCAGTATACCTAGCAAACTCCCAGAGAATCAGCTAATTCCATTTTTCTTGATTCCCTAAGCTTCCTAATAGGAATAACTTACAGAAAGGCCAAAAAAAACCCATCCAGGATCAAACAAACTTAGTAACAAATTCTCTTTGGGAAGATTGCATAACCATTCCCTCTCCCCCACTTTGCTTATTAGTAAGGTATTGATTCAGTTACTGAATAGGACATCTTAAAATAATTTATGTACTATGATATCACAAGATATCAATTTTTTATCTACACAAGGATTTATTGCTTATTTGTTCACATCACCAGTATGAATTAGACACAATCAGAAGAGAACAATAATATTCATTAAACATTGAGTGATATAAATGTATTTTCTACTCCAACTTGAATAATGACAAAACTAGGACATTCTGGCTTTTTTTTTAATGAATAGGATGCCCTATCTTTATTCCTCATTAATCTGTTTTTTCTCCTTAAAATAATTGATAAAAACTTTCTTCATGAGATTTCCTTCATTAATTTTATTTAATTTACCATACTTTTTCTCTTTTGTTCTACTTTACCTTTGTTCTTCTTAAATTTCTTTATACTTTCTTTATTGGTTTATTGATTTGTATTTTATATCTCTAAGGAAGGGATAATCCCGTTAAATAATAGGGAATCAACAAATACTTGTTTCATACCTACAATGTTTATACACTGTAATATCATATTAAAAGAAATAAAAGGTTTAGAAGATAGAGCTCAAGATATAATGATGTTCTTAATGATTTTACACTCCAGGTTAGGCACTTGACGTACTTAGAGTAACTAGGTATTAAGTTATTGACAATAAGTGCAATTAGAAGTCAGAAAGATTTTTTCAGTGGGATACTGGGTGTTTATCCATATAACACCATAGTATCTTCTACTGTTGCCTGGTCAGAGAGCCCTGAAGCTTCCATAGTTTTCTGTATGAACATAATCATTTTCTGAGGTAAGTAACACTCTTTAGGGCTTTTAAAGGGCTTTGCAAAAATACTGAATTTAACTTGGAGTTAAAGAAGTTATTTTAGAATTTTTAATAGATATTTGGTTTCATATTAATTGCATGTATACTTGATAGAATACGTTGGAGTGTTTCCAAGCAAAACTCAGAATCTTATCATCTCACTCATAACTGTTTCTTATTTAAGTGATTTTCTGTCCCTGAAGTGATTGTTTTGGTGGAAGCATTTCATATTGTTTGAGGGAGAAATAATCCATTGATTTTAGTGGTATAAACGTGGAATGGCTGGATCTGGATCAGTGATTTGGACTTGGTTGTAAAGAAGAATAAATAAGTCTAAAACAGTAAAATCTTGGAATAGAGTATACTGGTTAATTGGGTTTCTGATTAACCATGAGTTAATGAGAAGATACTTTTGTTTGAAATCTATTTTTTAATTTCAAAATTTTAAGGGGTTACAAATGTTTTTGTTACATAGATAGTTTGTATAATCGTTAAGTCAGGGCTTTTAGTGTGCGCATCACCAGAAATGTGTTC